AAGAAGAGGAAAAAGGGGAGAAGAATCAGCACACAAGAGAAAAACATATGAGAGTGAGCAACCCCACTTCACTGGTTTTATCTTCTCACACTGGGAGTGTCTCCGGCGTGTGTGTGTGTGTGTGAGGAGACAGAGGAGGAGGGTCGTGTGGTCTCCAAGCAGAGAGGACCTTGGATCTCTGATTATTTGATCTAACTTATACTTTTGGCTGGTAAAAGAGTCAGATCTGATACTCACTCACTATGATTAATATCATTGAATGCTAGGTTTCATGATAAATAATTTGACACTAAACACAAGTGAATGAAGTGTAGGATCACATCAAACATTCTCATTATGTTTTAAGTATCACATTGAACATGCTAAATTACTCTGAAATGAAACAGATAGTAACACATGGAAACTGTGAACAACAAAAGAGTAAATACATGTGAATGAACTTCATCATGATTAATAATGGATTCTAAATACTCACATTCAGATTATTCAATGACATTATAACCACCTAATGGTTAAAAATACTAAATAAACGATTAAAATATAGAACAAACATTTCTAAACTATTTCTGTTAATTAGAGTTAAGTTATGAGTCACAATCAATAAATTTAACTCTTAAAAGTTCATGAAACAGTCTGAAAAGCTGTTGGTCTAAAGAAACTAAAGAATAAAGGATTTATTCTGTCAGTGATAACTTGGCTTCTGGAGCACAGAAAAATGGGAAACATCTCATTTTAACACAAATTTCATGATTAGACAGATTAGTACATTGCTGAATGCATAAGATGTCATGATCAGTCATTTGTATTCTTTCACCAAAGGAATGTAGTCTTTATCAGTGTATGGTCGAGCAGGGTTTTACGACCGAGGTCTGGAGGTCAGTGTCCCCCCTTATCCTGGGGTCCGTATGTTCACACACTTTAAGAAGGTAAATCTCAAATGGGAGATCTGGGTTGAGACGTTAATGTTTATTTAGATGGTCAGTAATGGAGTCAGTTTGAAAGGTAATAAAAACTCTGTCTCTGTTCGCCGAACTGACCAATCATGAAGAGTCAGAGGTTTAGTCAACCTCCGGTTGGGTCACTTGGTAACCTGAAAGTGCAAACAAGTCTGGAAAGATTTATATCCTGTTTCCTGGGACCAGATAAGGAAACTTTCCTGTGAGGAATGTGTGAGTTTCACACCCAGGGTTGTCTTGATTGCTACATTTTTATTAATGTTTTTACTGGATTTTCAGTTTTTAACATACAAAACACAACCCTCAAGATACATACTACACAGTACAATACAGTGCGGGAAACGGGACAAGACTCTACAAACCCCAACATCAATCAACACACCCGCCCACCCTGGGGGGAGAGGAATTGAAAAAAGATTTGAAAGCAAAGGAAAAAAAATATGTATATAAAAATAATTATGATAATGATAGTAGTAATTATAGTGGTGAAAATAATACCACAAAGTAAAGTAAGAGGGGGAAAAAGTACTGAGAGCTCAGTCAATTGAGGTCAAGGAGTTGATATATGAGAGGAATGGGTCCCAAGTTCTATGGAAACCAGTCAAGGAGCCTCTAATTGTGAATTTAATTTTATCGAGGTGAAGAAATGATGACAAATCTTTTAGCCAGGATGTCGTAGGTGGGGGGTTAGGGCTCTTCCATTGAAGCAGTATGCGTCGTCTAGCTATAAGAGAAGTAAATGCTATCGAATCTTTCTGACACCTGTTTAAGCTGCCCACTGTGGGAGACACACCAAATATGGCAATTAGTGGACATGGAAGAACCGATACACCAAGGATCGCCGAAATGGTATCAAAGAAATGTCTCCAAAAAGAAGAAAGCTTTGGGCAAGAAAAAAAAGTATGTGTGTGATCTGCAGGTGAATGATTGCATCTAGTGCAAGAGTCTCTAACATTGGAATACATTCTGCTCAACTTGGCCTTAGTGCGGTGTAGCCTGTGTACAACTTTGAATTGAATAAGACACATGCGGGCACATGCACAGGAAGAATTAATTTTGTGCAGCACTTCACTCCACAAATCTTCCCCCAGGTTGATCCCAAGTTCCCCTTCCCACGTGTCCTTCAACTCGATTAATGAGGATGCTTGGGAAGAATTAAGGCTACTGTAAATTGAAGAAATATTATTAAAAGGTATCAGACGGGGCCATTATAATTTCCAGAATATTTTTTGCCGGTAGACTGGGGTATTGGCAAAATTACGTAGTTGAAAAAATCTAAACAAACTCATGTTTTGTATATCATAGGTAATAGCTATGTCCCCCATAGAGCTGAAAGTTCCTTCAATGTATAGGTCACCGAAAGAGACTAAACCCTTCTCCTTCCACTTGGTGTATGTTCTGTCTAGATAAGAACGTGTAAACAAATGGTTGTTACAGATAGGGATAAGAACTGAGGGAGATTTAAACTTGTTGTCGAATTTGGTTCCAGATTTTTAGCGAAGAGAGGACGACAGGGTTATTGGTATATTGGGAATACTTGGTTGGTAGGGGGGCAAAAAGTAAGGCAGGGAGAGAAGATTTAATACAAGAATTTGCCTCCATATTACACCAATTGATCTGAGGAGAGTGATACCATTTCTTGATCATTTGGAGGTTTGCAGCCCAACAGTAAAATAACATATTGGGCATAGCAAAGCCGCCATCTTGTTTAGGCCTCTGCAAAACCGACGTAGAAATTCTTGGTGTCTTACCTGCCCAAATAAAGGATGATATAATTGCTTCCAGTGATTTGAAATATGACTTGGGCAAATAAAGGGGTAGGGTCTGGAAGAGGAAAAGGAAACGCGGTAAAATGTCCATTTTAATTGTTTCTATCCGACCCACAAGAGAAAGAGGCCGTTTATTCCATCTTTTGAGATCGGTTTTGATCTTGTCAATTAGCTTACCATAGTTCTCCTTATGTATTGAGTTAAGGGTATGGGAGATAACAACACCAAGATATTTAAAACCGTCTTGAGAAAGGTGGAAGGGGAGCATACCAATGGGGATGGATTTAGCCGGGTTGTTAACAGGAAAGCATACACTTTTTGGAATGTTTTATTTATAACCAGAGAATTCTTCAAATGTTTTTAGCAAATTTACAATATTGCTAACGCAGTTAACTGGATTCTGAACAAATAAAAGCAAGTCATCTGCATATAACGCCACCTTGTGTTCGGCCCCTCCTCTTTGAATGCCTGAGAATAAAGTGGAACTTTTCAAAGCGATAGACAGCGGTTCTATAATTAACGCAAATAATAAAGGTGACAGAGGGCAGCCTTGGCGTGTGCCTCGTTTTAGGGCAAATGGTCGGGATACATTATTATTGGTTTTAACACTAGCTAGTGGAGCAGAATATAAAAGCCGAACCCAGGAAAAAAAATTTTGAACCAAAGCCAAGTATGGCCATTCAACACAATCAAATGCCTTTTCTGCATCTAACGATATAATTATCTCTGGCACCTGCGTAGTAGAGGGAGACAGAACAGCATTCAAGAGTCTGTGTACGCTGAATGGTAACTGGCGACCCGTAACAAACCCTGTTTGATCCTGGGAGATCACACTGGAAAGACATGGATCAAGCCTGGTGGCCAACACCTTAGCTAAGATTTTAACATTGTTATTTGACAAACTAATGGGCCTATAGCTGCTGCATAGTCTGGAATCCTTGTCTTTCTTCAGAATTACAGATATTAATGCTTGATTTAAAGTTGGCGGTAATACACCTTGCTCTAATGAATGATTAAAAACATCTAAAAGTAAAGGAGCGAGTAGTGTAATAAACTTCTTATAGAAGCATCCGGGGAAGCCATCTGGGCCTGGGGCTTTATTACTATGCATCTGTCGTATGCAAGAGGTTACTTCCTCTAAAGAAAGTGGCATATCTAAGCGTTGAGCTATGGATTCTGTTATTGTTGGTATTTCCAGATTATTGAGAAAAGAGTCCATGGTTGAGAAGTTGGAGGGAGGTTGTGATTTATATAGGTCTGAGTAGTAAGAAGAAAATGCTGAATTGATTTGATCAGGATCAGTAGTTAGATTATGGGATGAATCATATGTTTGTGCTATTAAATGCGAAGATGTTTGATGCTTTAACTGGGAAGCTAAAAGATGACTCGATCTGTCTCCGTTTTCATAATATGTGGCTCTGGTCCGTTGTAATTGATACTCTCTTGAGGTGGCCTATTGCCTGTTCACATCTAGAATGGCATCCAGAAGCTGTTGCTGCCTCTCTCTCCTCTTTATAGATAAGTGTGCGTTGAAGGAAATAATACGGCCAGGAATAAAAGCTTTGAAAGTCTCCCAAAGAAGAGATGGGGGTATCTGGTCAGATCTATTAGTTTCTAAGAAAAAAGTAATATCATTAGACACATATTCACAAAACTCTGGGTTAGCCAGTAATCCTGGGTTTAGTTTCCATCCTCCTTGATGTCTAGGCGGGCGTGGAAGAAGATTAAGGTCTAATATATGTGGAGCGTGATCAGAGATTACAATTGCTGATTATTGGAGTCACGTGGGACCGCAGGGAAGATGGCGGCACAGTAGGAGAGCTCCCCACGACCATCAGCTAATTAAGTAAATTTGGAGACATACACTTCGTCCCTACTCTGAAAAGTAAGGCCCTGTGTACTGGAAAATAACTACTACCCGTTTCTGACCAGAAATTTGTACTTCCCTGGCGAAATGTCGAACAACAGCAAAGCTAACTTTTTCAAAGGTGCGGCTACGAGAAGTAAGCTAGCCTCAAAGACCAGCCCAACACGTGAACGCACCTCCGCGTCGCCGACAGCGGCATGTGACAGCGACCGTACACCTGGAGAATATGACGAGAAAACGGTGTTGGAGGAAATACGGAATATGAGTGCTACTCTTCAAATGGTTGCAACGGAAGTTGTCTCAATTAAGGAGACAACGAAAGAGCTTAAAGATGCGGTGCAGAGCATACAAGTGAGACTAGGAGAGGCAGAATAACGGATATCTGACGTGGAAGACGTAAACACACGAATGGAGAAAAGTATGGAGAAATGTGGCAAGAGACTGGAAACACTGTGGACGCGCGTGGAGGACCTGGAAAATCGCAGCAGGAGAAATAATGTAAGAGTGGTGGGACTGAAAGAGGGCAAGGAGGAGACGGGCAAAGTTATTCAGTATGTGGAAAAGATCATCTCTCAGGGGCTCGGGCTGTCCGGCAGCGAGTTTGAAATTGAACGTGCCCACCGCTCTTTGGCGCCCATACCGGACCCGGACCAACCGCCCAGGACCATACTGATGCGCTTTCTACGTTCATCGGCCCGAGACAAGGTGCTGCAGGTGGCTAAGGAGAGACGGGGGATCGACTGGGAGGACTGTAAGCTGTCCTTCTTTGAGGATGTATCCAGAGAACTGGCGGAGAAAAGAAAAGCATTCACTCCGGTGAAGAGACGTCTGCATGCGTTAAACGTGAGACACAGGCTGGTCTACCCGGCGACACTCATCTTCACATGGAAAGGGCAGAAGAAAACTTTTCGAGACAGCAATGAAGCGGAGGAGTTTGTGCAAGGTGCTGAATAGAGGATCCGGGGACTTTATGGAAACCAGACGAGGTGTATGTGTTAATCTGTTGGAATAAGGTAATTTTGATGATGGTTTGTGGGAGGCAGGAAGAGCTGTGCTGTCACGATTTGACAGGATGCGCCTCACGGACACGGTTAATTTAGTTCAGGTTAATAGGGGGGCGGGGTGGGGGTTAGTTAGAAGCACAGAGTTTTGGGTTGCTTTAACCAGGGTTATGTTTGTGTTTTTCATGTTTTATCTCTGCACCAAGACAGTATATCTGAGAGCACCTAACGTTTTGAACAGCCTTTTGAATACGTGTTTAGTTATTATTAAAACCATGTTGAGAGAACTGAGGTCAAAGAGCATTTACATGTTGAGAAATGATGGCTAACAGATACATTAATATAATATCGTGGAACATAAATGGATGTGGGAACCCCACTAAAAGGAGGAAGGTTTTGACATATTTGAAATCTAAAAATACAGATATAGCATTTATTCAGGAGTCTCATATAATGGGAGATGAAGAGGCAGGAACATTTAAAAGAGGCTGGGTAGGTAAGGTTTTTCATAGTTCATATTCAAGTAAACAGAATGGGGTGATGATACTCATAAATAAAAATTTAAGCTGTATTATATTGAAACAACATAATGATAAAGAGGGCAGAATTATTTGTATTGAAGCCTTGATCAATGGAATTCGGACAGTATTATGTAACATATATGCCCCAAACAAGGAGGAACCTGATTTTTTCCATGAAGTCAATAGAGTGATAGGAAACATGCAAGGCCAGGTCATACTGGCCGGGGATTTCAACCAGGTAATGGATGGACTAATTGATAAAAGTAAGCCCAGTGGTAGATCTTAACCCAGGGACAGAGCTGCAATTCATATGTTGGCAGAGGACTTGAGTTTGGTGGACATATGGAGGTTGGTAAACCCACATGAGAGGGAGTATACCTTTTACTCCCACTGTCACAAATCCCATTCAAGGATTGACTTTTTCCTGATGTCTAACTCATTAATAGACTCAGTAGTAGAATGTGAGATAGGGGCTATTGCCCTTAGTGATCACGCTGCTGTAGCGTTACATGTTGACCTGAACACAGATAAGGTGAAAAGAGGGCGTTGGAGGCTTAATACTATGTGGCTACAGGATGTGTCATTTTGCAATACGTTATCAGAGGATCTTAAATCTTTCTTTGAAATTAATATTGGTTCTACAGAAACAATTTCCTCGGTTTAGGAAGCATCTAAGGCTTTTGAAGAGGGAAAATTATTGCTCATGCCTCAAAAATGAAAAAGGAAAATGTGAAGAAAGAAAAATCATTGGACAAAGAGATCCGTAAATTAGAGAAAGAATTGGCAAGTCACTATACAGACAATTTATATAAAACAATTTGTAATATGAAATATCAACTACATGATATATATAATAGAAAGGCTGAATATGCCTTATTTAGGCTGAAAACTAATTTCTATGAGGGGGGCGAAAAAAATGGCAGACTATTAGCGAGACAATTAAGACAACAGGACAATTCCAACAATATCCCAATGATTAAGAAGGATAATGGGGTAGTAACCTCATCCAAAGAAATTAATCAGGTTTTTAAATGTTTTTATGAAAATCTTTACACATCCTCTGGTGCTCCCAACCCAGAAGAAATAACTTTTTTTTCAGGTATCCATCTGCCTTCCATATCTAATGAGCAAAAAGACATGTTGGATGCTCCAATAACAGAGGAAGAGATTAGGGCTGCTATTTCATCCATGAAAACCGGGAAGTCACCTGGTATGGATGGCTTCCCGGTTGAATATTATAAGAAATTTATTGATATTTTGGCCCCTATATTGCATAAGGTGTACATGGAAGCATTTGAGAGGGGTTCGCTACTGGGTACGTTTAATGATGCTTTAATTTCTCTTATTCCTAAAAAGGACAGAGATACCTCTGATCGTCTAATTTCAGACCTGTGAGCCTACTTGGGGTTGATTGTAAGATTTTGACAAAGACCTTGGCGTCACGTTTAGAGAAAATATTGCCAGACATTATACATGGGGATCAAGTAGGTTTTATTAAAAAAAGGTCCTCGGTTGATAACATGCGAAGGCTCATTCATCTGATACATATGAATCGCTCTAATCCGGTACCAGTAGCAGCTTTTTCACTTGACGCTGAGAAGGCTTTTGACCGGGTGGAGTGGGAGTTCCTCAGGTTGACTCTTTCAAAATTTGGGCTGGGTACTGGGTTTTGTAACTGGGTGAAGATACTTTATTCTGGTCCGAGGGCAGCTGTTCTTACAAATGGGCTGATATCTGATTTTTTCTGTCTTTCCAGAGGGACGAGACAAGGGTGTGCTCTCTCCCCATTGCTCTTTACTATGGTACTTGAGCCATTAGCTGTAGCAATCAGAGCTGAGGTGAGGATTAAGGGTGTGAGGGCAGGGGGTGGAGAGCACAAGCTATTTATGTATGCCGATGACATCTTAGCAGTGCTAGAAGATCCTGGGGGCTCCCTGCCAGTGTTATTTGAATGTATTGAATGGTACTCAAAATTATCAGGTTACAAAATAAACTGGAATAAATCCGAATGTATGCCAATATCACATACATGTCACTCTGGGGTTATCACCTCTTATGGCTTTAAGTTTATACCTTCAGGTATGAAATATCTAGGCATTCAACTAAACCCAAATCTTGACGAAATAATGCTCTCAAATATGGAACCACTCCTCCAGAAAATAAAAATGAACCTGGATAAATGGGGGAAATTGAAGCTCACATTATGGGGAAAAATTAATGTAATTAAAATGGTGGTGGCACCACAATTCAATTATGTTTCCATGATGTTACCAGTCAATATAGCACCACCGTTGTTTAAACATTACGATAGAATCATTAAAGATTTTTTATGGATAAAAAAAGACCAAGGATTAATATAAAAAAAATGTGGTCACCTAGGGAGATAGGAGGTATGAGTCTACCCAATGTAAGATTATATAATATATCATTTGAAATGTCTAGATTGATAAAGCATTGGAAGGGGATAGGTCAGGAACTGAGCTGGATCAAAATAGAAAAGGAACTAACCAGCCCATTTGAACCTCTGGATGTTCTCTCACATGGTGTAAAAACTCCTGGACATAATTATTTTTCGAACCCAGTGCTGTCTTACTCTAAAACCGTTTGGAGAGAAATTCATAAAATGTATAGTATCTCCCACTTAAGACAACCTTACGCCTCTCTATGGCATAATCCAGCCATCCGTATTGGGAAGAAATCTGTCTGTTGGAATCAATGGCTTGTAGGTGGGATACGCAAATTGAGTGATCTGTGTGTAGATGGAGTATTAATGCCATTTACTGATATTATGCAAAAATATAATCTGGAATATAAAGGTAATTTTTGGAAGTATTTGCAAATTAGGGACTGTATCACAAAGGGTAAATTTAGTCACAAAAAGAATACATTGATGGAAGTTTTGGATCGACCCAGTACTGCACACAGAGCAGCCATATTCTACAAAACATTTAATGGTTTACGAGAAGATGCATGTAAAAATCTGAGGATCGTTTGGCAGAAAGACCTAGGGTGTGATTTAAGTGAACAGGACTGGTTAAATATATTATCAAATACAGGGAAACATATGAGAGAGGCGAAAGGGAAATTTATTCAGTATAAGAGAATCCATAGATTTTATTTCACTCCTTCAAAGCTACATCGAATGGGCTTAATAGGAATTCATTTATGTTGGAAATGTCAGAGTGAAACAGGGACTTTTTTACATATGATTTGGGGATGTAAACTAGTGTACCCGTTTTGGGAGAAAGTAGTGAACCATGTAAGTAAATGGCTGGGTGTGGCTGTACCTGTATCACCAAGATTGTGTTTGTTAGGGGACCAAACAGAAATGCTAAATATACCTAAACATGAAAGAGGGGTTTTAAAAGTGGGAATGGTCACAGCTGCTCGAACGATCCTCCGAGAATGGGAGAGTACAGTTGCCCCAGATGTTAAAAAGTGGATGGAAATGATGTCAGAAGTTGCATCATACGAACACATGCTGGCTAAAATTAACAATGAAGAAGAACATGTTAGGAGGGCCTGGGAAAGTATTTTTTTGTAGAGGAAATATCGATATTAAGTTTGTGTACATGGCTGTAAGCTCGATATACTGTCTGTCGATGTTGGTGTGTTTTTGTTTTTTAGTTTGACTGTATGTTTAGGTGTATATGAAAGACTAAATAAAAACTTTAATGACAAAAAAAACAATTGCTGATTATTCTGATGATTTGACAGAGGAAAGGAGAGCCTAATCGATAAAAAAAAAATCTATCCGGGAATATACCTGATGAACAGTGGAAAAATATGAAAAATTTTTAGCAGTAGGATGAGAAAAGCGCCAAGGGTCAACACAGCCTAAGTGAGCCATAAGGTCCGAAAGAGTTCTAGCCATAGCAGTTGGAGTAAAGGATTTAGAGTACAAGCGGTCGGAGCGCGGGTTAACCACACAATTGTGATCACCACCGAGAATTAAGTGGTGAGTGTCTAAATTTGGCAAATGTGAAATCAATGACGAAACAAAATTAGGATTGTCAAAATTGGGCGCATAGACATTACACAGTACAACTGGTGTTTCAAGAAGTGCACCTGAAACTATGACATATCGGCCTCCAGGATCAGATATTATTTGTTCTGGAATAAATCTGATTCGTTTGTGTATTAGAATGGCTGTGCCTCTGGACCTACTTTTAAAATTAGAGTGGAATATTTGTCTGACCCAAGGTTTACAAAGTCTGATATGATCTTCTGTGCGAAGGCGTGTCTCCTGCAGAAAGGCAACATAGGTCGAAAGATTTTTAAGATGAGAAAATACTTTTGCATGCTTAACCTGGCCCCCCAGACCTCGGACATTCCAGGTAACAATCCTAACAGGAAGACCAGAAACCACCATAGTAGGCATGTATGGAATATACAACTATTATATTATTGAGTAGCATGAATATGATCGGACCTATTATAGCCACAGAAACAATAGGATAAGACCAGTTCTGGCAAAAGAAGCACACCCCCTTAATAATAAGCCTACAAAGGCAATTGTAGTACACAAAGTAAAGTAGAAAAGGGAAAAAATAAAAAATGGATATTCGATCTCCTCCCCCCAGGGCTCTCCCACCCCCCATAACAAAACCCCCATTAAACAGACACACAATACTGGCTTGGCACGAGAGAACTTAAGAAACAAGACAGAACAAAACAAGTGCACCCTGTCCCGCCTACCCACCCCAAGTCCCAGTGCAGCCCAAGTACCTATATTCACCCCCCCCCCCCCCCCGATGAACTGCAGGTAAACACCACATACTACTTCCGGGGTAACTGAGTGGGACACCTACCTCTCCTAATACGGAGAGGCTCCCAAGTTATTTTGTAAATGTGAAATACCTAAACCGTAAAGCAACAAATATAGTTCCCTATAGCCAAATATAATTCCTTATAACCGATATAGAATATATAGTAATAATAAAGAGGAAGCGAAAAAATGCAAACAAGAAGGGATGGAGGAAGAAAGAGCAGAAAAAATAAAGTTGTTGCTCCTCAGATATGAAAAACCTAAAATGTTCCTGTGGCGACCATATTTGATACAATAATGGAGAGAAAGAAAATAAAAATAGATAAATAAATATAATAATAATAATAATAATAATAATAATAAAAATAATAATAATAATAATAATGAAAGTGAGTAAAATTATATGGCACCTACTGGTGCGTCTCTCTGAGGGCAAGAATCAATATAGGATGAATAATAATAATTGGGAAAATTGATATAGAAAACAGTAGTAGCTATAGTCTTTTATCTCATTTCCTCCCTTCCCCTCCTCCTCTCCCCCATAAATGTGCTAGCCCAGATCATCAGACCCAGGGCCACAGGGAGTACCTATCACCAATGCAATGGCCGCAGATGGCCCCAATAGGCTATGAGGGCGCCGCGGCCAAAAGGCTTGCCGGCGGCAGGCACCCCCACAACATCAGGCCAGAAAATTAGAGCCAACCCTCCAGGAGTGCCTTAATGTCCTCCTTAAAAGATAAAAATTGAGGGGAGAGAGAGTAAAAATAAACTCAAATTTCAAACCACTAGCCTCATATTAAATCCATAGGAAAAAAAGAGAAATATGATGTGACCATACTTAGAGGATCACTTCATTTAATTTAATTTAAACATAGTAATTTGTGGAGGAAAAGGTTCCCTTATGAAACAAACAAATGGAGAAGACTATAATTAGTCAGCACCTAAGTAGGGCAGAATAGTCAAAGTAGGGAATAAATTTCAGTGGGGCGAAAAGAAAAAGTAAAAGAAATGGAAAAAAGTAAGGTCAAATACCAAGAACAGACACAACAACAACAAATATAATAATAATAATAATAATAATAATAATAATAAGAAGAAGAATAAGCTAATCATAGTAATAAGGTGCAAGACCCAAAAAAGAAAAAGAAAAAAAAACAAAAGGGGGCATTATAGCTCCTAATTGATGTAAGCTGGATCATCACATGGTAAACTCATTTTAATGGCATAGGGAAAAAAAAAAAAAGAAGAAGAAAAGAAATGCGTGTAATAATGACCAGTACATTAAGAGTGCAAAGGAAGGGGGAAAATGAGGGGGAATTATTACTGATCATTCATATAAGCTGGATCATCACATAGTTAACTAATTTTAACAGCATATTATGCACAGAAAGAGAAAGAAAGGAAAAAAAATGCGTGTAATAATAATAATAATTAAAAAAATAAAAATAAAAAAAACAAGCAAATAAATGAGTGGTTCTATATCAACTAAAAATTGATAACGGGCCTGAGTAGAGTCCAGCTGTACGATGTAGAATGAACATGAATCCGTATGGGTGTGCGTTTGTGCACGCACACTCGCTTGTCAATAAACAGTCAATCAATGTCCATAGTGACTGTGTGTGTGTGTGTGCACAAAAGAAAGAAGGGACAGAGACAGAAAGAAAGACGGATAGAAGGAGGGAGAAAGAAAGACAGACAGAGAGAAGAAAGAGTCACTGCAAGTCTATGTTGGCTTACACTTGTGCGCGCTTTGTGCGTAAAGCTGCGCTCCAAAGCGGGAGGCAGTGCCATGCAGTTTAATCCCCATCCTTGGCCTCGTCAAGGAAGTTTCAATCATAAAATTTCTGCGCTTCCTTCGGACAGTCGAAAACATATATCTGTTTTTTCTGTTTCCTTAGGTTAATACTGAGTGAGGATTGCAGTTTTTGCTCTGGTTTAGTCCATTTTATACTTATATATAAGTATATTGTATATATATTGTATATTAAGTCGAACTCGGAAGCTTCTCCTGATGCGTCCACTCACTCACATGGTTAACCGGAAGTCGACCGTCATTGTAATAATCAAGATATCCTTCTATGGCTTCTGTGAACAGGTTACACAAACTATGATCATTAAAATGCCATTGTCAGGTTCCTGTGACCATCAACAACGTCATTATGAGTTCCTAATCAGGTTCCTGTGATTTTCAAGAATGACATATGTTCCTGTGACTGGGTCACATGTACATATCTTGGAAACATACACTGAACAGGCCTCAGTCATACGGATGCTCTCCGTGGGCATACATCGATCATGTCCGAATACGGAAGTCACACTCAGATTAGCATCCAGCAAGAATGCCCCATAAGTTCACAAGTTTAGGAGAGTGATCCTAAGCCTCATAACATCCTATTACATGGATTTAGAATAGCTAGGCACAGGATGTCCAAAAGAAGATACAGAACTTTATCAGAAAATGACTCCACACTCTAGTGATTTTTTGTTTCTTTTGGATTTTGCTCCTTGTTTTTTGCCCTTGAAGATTTTTTCTGTTGAACATTTAAAGCAAGTTTTTTTAATGTTTTATTTAGTTCTGCAACAGCAACAGTGGTTGGGAGGAAGTCAGAGTCAGACCAAATGTTATTTTTCTTTTCTTTTCGCAAGACGCTAAGGAATTACACCCAGAGAATTTCACCCAAAGAATTATTCTTTGTTTCTCCCCCACAAAAATAATAATAATAAAAAAAAAAAAAAAAAAAAATTAAAAAAAGAAGAACATGCAGTTTTGGACACTCAGGCAGCTGGAGACGTGGTTCCAATTGTAAAAATGAACATTTTATTTCAGTCTTTTTTAAAATGGTTTTTAAAACAACACACACAGGGGGGAAAAAGGGAAAACCTGATCAGGTGCTGAGGCTTACCCGATGGATAGGGGGCTAGTGAAGGGGAGGAGAAATCCACCAAAACAAAATCAAAAGAATCACCCAGGCACACATGACAGACACACGGTTGGAAATTGATAACCGTATCCCAGGGAAGCACAGCACACAAAAGAGGAGGGGGATAATACCACCTGGATCACCAGCACCGCCACCAGCCCTCACGACTTAAAAAAAGGGACATAAAACCATTATTGTGGGGGGGGGGGGTCAAAATAATAAAGTAACACAAGCAACACACACACACAAAAACGGATACACTTAACTGATCTACAGTTAATATAAATTAACAGTTTAAATAAAACAATCAAATTTTATTTTAACCCGTTCGACCCTAAGCATATTTTAAGGGAAAAAAACAGCCTAAAAGACATACCCAAAGTAAATGAGGAATTACTACACTTTACTAAAGGTTATATGCATGTTCTTGGTGTCCTTGGACATCTAAAGACTTCAGAGAATGTGTTCCAAGTGTCAGAAGTGTTTTATCTGTCATTATGCCTGAGTAAATTGGAGTGAATCGGAGGAAAAGTTACATTTTTTTACCCTCGCCAAAATGTTTTCTTTTTTCGACAGGGGAAAACACAATGCTGGCAATGATTCCAGGCCCCCAGATGACATTGATTAGCTTCATCCACTCCTTGACCACAAATGTACCAAATTTGATAGAATTTGGGCAAACAGTAAAGCCTACATGAAGGTTTTTGTAAGGGTACACCCAGGCGAGGACTCAGTTTGGCACAATTTGGCACACTTTGTGCCAAAATGTGCCAAATGGATTATTTTCTACCTCTGATGAGAACTGGCTCCAAATTACAATTTATTTCCATAAGACTAGTCTCCTACTACCTATTGGAGCTTTTAGATATGAAATTTACCTTTTGCCTCATCAATTTCTTTGATATGTAATACAGAATAGTGAAAAATAACAGGAACTTCTACATTTCTTTCTTCACAGGGAGTATTTTTATTTGAAAAAAGTGCAAAAAGAGAAACAAACAAACATTCTGAGCAAACAATGTAATATAAAAAGTAAAAGTGCAGCAAATATTGTAAATTAAAAACAATATATAACAATATAAAATACAGCAAACACAGGTAGAGTAAATTAAATGTAATGAATACATATAAATGCATAATTGAAGCAGTAAAGAGTGTATTATTTCTTTTAGAGACCAGAATCAAACAAATGATCAGTACACAAACCTTGATACAAGCAATGTCACCTTTCTTGCAGGTAAGGGTGGGGCGTCTGGTGCAGGGAGTACTGAAGGTGTGAAAACCCCTGATGGGGGGTGGGGGTGGATGTGCCTCACTCCCCTCTTCTTGGTGGCTGTGAAAATGGTGATCAATTACTATGCAGAACAAAAATAAATAACATTTGTACATTTCACTGAAGGACACAAAAGTTGTGGATATATGTAAACTTATTCACTGAATTGAGTAGCCATGACCTCTACTATATTTTGTTTGCATTTATATGTACTTCATTTTTTTTTTCTCATAAAGAATATATTCAAAGACAGATAAAATGCAGTATCTGCAAGCAAAGTAAGCCCAAAATAAACAGATATAGTGAAACTGCAGTAATATTCGATGCTATTGGATTGCCATACTTACTACAGTGTTTACAGTTTTATGACAAAGGTGTTCCATGCATATCAATTTACACAACATGGCCTTATAGATAAATGCAAATACTTACTAGTAAACTGGGTCCACTTCTGATGTAAACAATGCCTCCTCCTCGGAGCCGACTCCATTACTGAGTCAGACGAGTCCTCAGATTCACCGTCTGAGCCCCGCTGAATTTCTAATAAAATGTCCGTCATATCCCTCTAAGAGTTGAATTTTTCTTTTCCTGGTTGAAAAGTACTCAAGAGAAGTTTTATAAGTGGTGTAGAAAGTTTACAGGAGAGTCCCGACTGATCTGTGTGCGATGCAGCATCCTGCCTTCGTCTGTGGGGCGCTGCACCTAAAAGCGCACAGATTACGAACACTTTACGCCCGGCTTTTTTCAAAGCTGGGAAATGTAGTCTTTGGAAAGATTGATACCAATCGATTCAGTAGGTTCTCCCCTTTCAAATGACTACAGACATGGCCGGACGGAGCCTGTCTCCGCTACACTGTAAAGCTTTGATTCGGTCGATGTCGCAAAATTTAAATGTCCAGACAGAGACACCAAGACAGATTAAAATCGTCATAAAAAGGTAACGTTTACACTAAAACAGACATCCGACCCAGTTCTGTGAACATTAGAGTCTAAACTTTGATTGAGAATTGAAAGTAAACACCGCGGTCAGGTTTCAATACATTTTTTACAGCGTTTAAATACATGCAGCAAAATCTCGGCCCATCCATGGGCCCGTCGGGCGCAACGGGTTAACAAAAGAAAACCACCCACAAACCCAAAATAAAACCCACAAACTACCCAAAACCAAACTAAGAAACTAAAGGAGAAGAAGTTAACTAAACCCAAATGAACAAAAAGAATAAACCTAGTCACAATAACCCTAAACCAAAAGAAGGCTAACTTAAATAAATTAACCTAAACAAACAAACAAAAAAAACAAATATCCCTACCACTCATTCACACCCTTAAAACACAATTGTAAATCAATTAAAAAATTCTCGAGGCAGTTGCCAGGTTAAAGACAGACAGCTAATAGCAGGTCCGATGAGCACTGGAAGGGCCTGAGCTTGTCAGCGAGCTGGCTAAGGTTAGCAACAGCACAAGAGACAAAGCTGGCTAAGCCAGGAGACAAAGCAGGCGAAGCCAGGAGACAAAGCAGCAACAGAAACATCACACTCCTAATCGGTTGATCGTGGCAGATGTGAACCACCAACCGTCATTCTGTCGGATCCCACCTGTTAAAAATGGAAGTGTTAACACTAATAATGCTGTAGTTGCAACTTATGTTGATGCCATACTCACTCTTCTGTGGCAGCAGGCACACAAACACACCCAAGTGGAGGGAGGGAGAGAGAGAGAGAGACCCAAGCTGCTATTGGCATTAGCCACTAGAAGCATCACCATAGCACACACAGAGAGAGACAGTCACCACTATCAACCAGAAGAGGGACACACATGCCAGGGGCACACTGTTGCTCTGAAGCACAGAACAAACAATAAACGTTGATGGACCACAACGCCAGCTAGGTAAAACAATGAGGGCATACCTGTCGCAGTCAAGCACCCAGAAGCAGCACTAGCAGAAGCACAAAGAGAAAACAGGGGGACTTAAATACCCTCCACTTGTTCAGCGATTGGACCCCGCAGCGCTCAATCAATGAAGCAGCTCACTGCATACAACAGAATGCATCTCTCTATGCTGCTACAGTTCTTTATAAATAAATGATTTTTGTTCTGCATTTGGGCCCTTTCCTTTTTGTTTAACTTAACATCCTGACACCCCCTTCAGAATTGGAATTACAAAAAAGGCAACAAATTAAAACTAAGAGGAAAGTGTGTCTGAGAACACCACAGAAAGATTGAAATCAGGGAGCTTATCCAACATCTACATTTAAATGTTCCATTTTTTTAATGGAGATTTTAACTTTACTGTTTCCATGAAAGCTAATAAAAGTGATCTCTTTGAGGTCTGTGTTTACATTGCTGATGCTACGCTATCAGATTTTTGTTTAAAGTCAGATTACACTGCCAGTCCCAAGGCCGGCAAACTAACCACAACTAAATCCAGCAGGATGATGGAGGCAAAGGTGAGTGAGCAGGTTGGCATCGTCACTTTTATGAAGTAGGTAAACCAATATTTTATGTTTAACCCTAAGGTGGTCCAAAATGAGGACCACCTCATGTCATGTATGGTACACAAAACATAGGAAAAGGACCCACAAATGCAGAACAAAGGATTTATTAAAGCAAAAAGTAAAAGTCCAATGAAAACTTACTCTCTAAATGTCCAAACAAATCCAAATCCAAAAGGCGAAAAAACAGGGACACAAAATCCAAGGAATCCAAAGGGCACTGGAAAAAAACCCACAAGGAGACAACTGGGGACACAAGCATATGCTGACATTGACATACACACTGTACACACACAATGAACCAGGCAAGAATAAGGGGAAGACTGGGACTATATACACAGTGGGAAACAAGCAACAGGTGAGGCAAACAAGACACAGGTGAAACTTATGGGTGATTAACAAAGGAGGGAATAATTCAAATATGTTGGAGACTGACTGTTTATTGAGTAGCGGTAGGTTTGAAAAAAGCGTAATGCTTCATCCTACTCCTTTTTGGACATGTTAGGTTCGAATCATTAACACAGTACACATTATTAATTATTATTACATCATTATATATATATATATATATATATATATATATATATATATATATATTGCTTTGATTATTGTTATATTGTTATTGTTGTTTTGAATATTCTCAAGGGTTTTTTTTTCGTTTGTTTTTAGTTTTCTTTCTTGTGTCGCATGCAAATGTTTGAAAAAAAAATACAGATAAATAAATAACTAAATAAGTAAAAATAAGAGAAAGCTAGGTAGGTAAAACCAGACTAGAAACACAAGAAATCAACCACTACAAAACAAAATAGGCCACACTGAAAACTGATCTAAAGAATAAAACACAGAGAACAGGAGGGAAACGGGGTCAAACACAAACTGAAAACTCACAAGACTGGACTACAGGGGAAAGGGAACAACAGAGAACAGAAACACCAAGGAAAGTACACAAAATGCACTCAAATGAAACCAGGAGACTAACTAAATAAACACCTTAGGGTTAAACTATAGAGGTCTTTTACATCTTTGTTAAAAAAAAAAAAGTGCCCACTACAGATCAGCTTTGCTTTGCTGTTACAGCCAGACTGGACAGCATCCACATATGACTTATGACCTATGAATTTTTTGATAGTATCCCAGCCCTCAGTCATCCCAGTAAATAAAAGCTGCTGTTGTGATATTTCATGTAGGCCACCTGAAATGTTGAAGATTCATAGTCTGGGTATCTGTCATGTACCCTGCATTTACATAGTCCCAGGATTGCTTGGTATTCTTCTTGGTACTAATTTCTTCTGTATGGATCAATCTGTATGATCCATATGCCCAAATTCCCCATAAATAAAACACAGTTTGGAAAATGTCATTTCCTTGGAAATACCTCGCAACTCTATTTTCATTGCCAGCTGGTTTGTCTCATCAATTTTAAGTAATCTTCTAAACGGAAACTATGTTTACAGAATCAAATTTTTCAACACCTCAGTTAATTCAGAACAGCCCCCCTTCAGTTCTTGACATCAGAGGTCCGTTTCACGTAGCAGGTTTAATGGAAACTCAGAGTCTGTTAACCCTGAAATCAGGGAAACTCTGAGTTTTCCGTTTCACAAAGGAGGGTCAGTTAAACCAGAGAGAGAGGGGTAACTCTAAACTGTTTCACAAAGAGAGGTAACTCAACCTCGCGGTCAGTTGCCATAGTAACAGACTCCGTGAACCTAACCTGGGTTAGCAAGCAAGTTCAACCTAGCGAGGTAGCCTTGGAGCTACCTCGCTCAACTTAGCGCAGTAGCCAGCGGTCTCGCTAAGCGGTTTTACGACGCTGGTTATCAACCTCATAAGTGGATCCAGCTTTGCTATGAGCGCGTGCACACATATAAGGCGGAGCCCACCGCATCTGACCAATCGCGAACATGGATCAGTCTGGAGCGTCAGAGCAGGCTGGAGAGTCAAGGACTGCGTACTTTACAAACGAGGAGCAGGAGACGATCATGAGAAAGTATGAAGAATTCAAAGCTACCATAAACCTCAAAAGCAACACCGTCGCCGCCGCAAAAGCACGGAGGGAATGCTGGCAGAAAATGCATCTTTGATGCCATTATCACCCTGAAAAAGCACTGTTCAACATGCGCTTTTAACTAAGGTGACAGTCCCCGAATTGGATGATCTGTCCCCGGCTAAATCTGTCCCCGAAAATGTCCCCGATTTAAGCGTTTCATGAATGAGAACAAAAATGTTGCATGTGGGCTAGAACAACGGTTATTACAGTGGGTAGGAAGCACAAGTAAGCAGTCCTGAACAACAGTATTTACGGGGGTTATTATAAGGGGCGTGCGCTGCTACTAAATAGTACCGAGATGTTGTCTGTGATCACGCAGCCCATGCAGCTCATGCCCATTCATTTCCAAGATGAATTCACTCATTTGTTCATTCCTATCGTGTTTACATTTTTTGTGTGATATGTCGGCCATATGAGCCTTTCATAAAGGTGGTCATCCGGAAAAGTAAGTGGGTCCGTGCGGTCCCTGTAAACTCTCGCACGCTGGAGTGCTCCTCCTCGGACAATGTGAGCACCGAGGTCTACAGGATCCTCCGAGAACGGACAAGCCGTTTTTCAAGAAAGCTCATTGGTCAGTGGGCGGGGTTTTTATACTCGGTGAGTTCAAACTTGCCCCGGAGCAGGTTAGCCGTTCAGCGTATGTTGCCATGGAGACTCGCCTCGCTAAGACGTGAACCCGCGTTGTAGAACAGGAAACCCTGAACTTACCCTCGAAGTTACCTCGCTAAGCAGTAATCCTGCTTCGTAGAAACCCAGAGTTTTTCTCTGTCTTTGCCCTCTTTCAGCCACACACTCATGGCCGGCCCGTGCATATAGGCGAACAAGGCAGCTGATTAGAGCGGCAAATTGTAATGTGTGCAACGGGCGGCACAGCTAATAAAACATTGGCCGCAGCGGTGCTGCCCCTAATGTCCAAAATGTGACAAATCAGTCACTGGCTGGCTGCAGGCTGCACCTGCATGTTCGC